TTTCCTTTCTAGGCCATTGTTGGGGGGGAGGGGGCAGGGAAGAGAGGAGACTGGAATATACACTTCTTTGAGAAAGGGTAACCTGTGGCATCCATCCTTGCCCCATCTGGCACACAGAGCATAGTAATGAAAGCAAAGCAGTTGTTTTTTTTTTCTTTCCTTTTTCTTTTTCTTCTTCTTCTTCTTTTTTTTTTTTAAGTATGCAAACAGGGTTTATTAGTGATACATTCTCAGGGAAGAGAAGAGGCCTAGGGTGGGAGAGAGAGAGCGAGAGAGCGAGAGAGCGAGAGCGAGAGCGAGAGCGAGAGCGAGAGAGAGAGCGAGAGAGAGAGAGAGAGAGAGAGAGAGAGAGAGAGAGAGAGATCACACCAAAGTAGTATTTTTTTAAAAACCCTTTTGTTTGTCTTGATAATTAATTGTTAAATCTGGATAATGGGTACATTGGGTTCATGATACTCTTCTTTCTGCTTTTATGTGTTTGAGTTTTTAAATGAACAGATAATAATGAAACTTATTTTTCTTTTAATAAGATTGTTAGAAAAAGATTCTCCCAAACTTTCCTAATCCTGCATCAACTTCTAGGAACCCCCACCCACCACCGACTCAGTTTCGTCTCTGTTAAGCCAAATAGCACTGTCAGGAAGGTTTCAGCCAGTGCCCAGGATCTGGTGGGGAGGCTGGTGTATCCCCTCTTTGACGTTCAAAGGCTCCCCAGTGTTGGGTCAAAGAGACAGCCCCATCCCTGAAAGGGGACTGCTGACTGCAATCAGCAGAGGCCCAGTCTCCCTAACTTGGGTCTCCCATGAGTCTCAGCAGCTGGCATTCTTCACGCTAAGGAGGCAGGTCAGAACACTCCCAGCCCAGGGAAGAGTAACACACCTCATTCTCGCTGAGATGAGAAGAAACAAGGTCTCGCTGCTTTTCCTCCACCCAGATTATGGACGTTTGCACTGGCATTTTGGTTCATTTCCTTGTGTGGGGAAAGTGAGTCCTGCCTGCCTAAGATTCCATCTCCTTTGGCCATGCCGTTCCTCGTTACTTCCTGATTTGGAAAGCATGTAGAACTTAGTTATTAAGGAGCCTCCCTGTCCCACGGCCATGAAGGCTGGCTTTTCCTAGAGAGGGGAATAGGGTGGCAGTGAGTAAAATTAGGACCCTGACATGGTTTCTACAGATTATCCTGAAGAGAAAGTATTAGAGAAGACTCAGGCCACCCCGGACACTTGCTGAAACTCCCAGTGCTTTCCTGTGCATGCCACTCAAACAGGTGACCACACCGTTGAAGGCCTCCCATGGCCCTCTCTGTACTAAATACCATTCCTTATGCTAAAGGTGATTTTTTTTAATGCATCACAAATATAAATTTATATTTTTATAAATATAAAGGCTATTAATAAAATCAACCTTTCTGAGATTCCCCGCTCCCCCCTCCCCCCACACACACACACAAATCGAGGAGAAAAACCCAAATATTAATTTGTCAGATAACAGGGCCGGCCGAGTGGCATGATGGTTAAGAACTGGCTCGGGACACCAGAGGGCCCCAGTTCGGATCCCACACATGAGGGCCAGTGACACTGCCCTCTACAGCTAAGATGCTGAACAACAGCTCAATCTGGAGCTGGGCTGCCGTGAGTCGCCGGTGACGGCATAGGCTGCAGCCCCTGCTGCAGTGAGTTGCCATGGGCTATTGTGTGTAGCCAGCAGCCAGCGTGAGCGGCCAGCAGCCGCTGTGAGCGGCCGTCCAGAAGCCGGCGACTAATCTGCCTCACCCAGGAAGAGCGCAATGATGGTGCCAACTTGGGCCAGTGAAGCAACGTCCTCCACAACTAGACTGAAGAACAAAAACAGCAACTTGTCTACCTGTCTGTTCCCTTTCTCTGATTCCCCAATGCTGTTCCTCTCTCTCCAATTCCCCAATAAAATCTTTAAAAAAAAAATTGTCAGATAACATATTTATCTTTTGGTTCAGAAAATGTGGTCCCTGTTCCTAGCTACACACTATCTGGCATGTACCTACAGAAGCCAGTCTGGGATTCTATCTCAGGATGCTCAGTTGTATCTCCTGGGGACAGAATGCAAGGAGGTAATTTAGGGGAGAAGGCTGGATTCGGTAAAGGATAGGGGTCCACAGTCACATGGTTCTGCTACTCTCTATCCTCTGCCTCCCCAGGCAAAGTGAGGCAAGGGCCAAGGCTTCTGGAAGCATTGATGGCCAGCCTCCCAGACTCTACAGAGTTAGACCCAGGAAAGCCAGGAAGCTCAATCCTGATTCCAAGGTTAACAACAAAAGCAAGGATTGCTGGCCTGTAGAGTATCATCCTCTGAAGAGTTTAAAGACCTTTAAACACTCCATGCATTAGCTTCTGCACACTCTGTCTTAGCGACAAATCTGGGACAGAATTATTAGCCCTCACTTACCCAGTGGACAACTAGGCAAAGCCACTACTTGGCAGCCAAGAGCTCTTAGTGAGTCACGGGCCAAGCTACAGATTGGAGGGCAGACGGCGAAGAAAGCAATGAAAGAAAGAGGAAGAGATATGGATTTGGGTCATCAGCATGGAATTCCCACTTCCCAGAGGGTCCAATGAGTCTTCTTCCTTCTTCTCACTGAACTCTGACACACCTGGCTGGGGTCCTCCAGTGTGAGAAGGTACCAGCTGGCCTCAGGCTGTGTTTCCTCCAACAGGAAGCAATGGAAGGGGGGGTCTAAACTTCAGTCCCTGCTGCTCCCCAGCGTGGGTACTCTCTCTACCTAGGACACACTCTTTTCTCAGCCCCTGGAACTTTTCAGCCTGGTTCAGCCAGATGACCCACACGATCCCCTCATTCGCATGCACTTCCCTTTCCTCTAATTAGGGTCCAGAGTTCGAGTGGGGTTGAAGGAGCCCCTCCTGGTGCTCCTGTTGTAAAGTCCATCCTCATCGCCTATCTCCCAGGGAGCCTCACTGTCTACAGTGACTGCTGAGTGCACTGAATACTGAGGGTCCTGCCACCAAACTCCTAAAGAATCCTAGTTTGTGAGGCTGACTCCACAAAGAAGCACCTCATGGCAGGGGAAATGTTCTCAATCTCTCTGCACCTGATGGGTCTTCCTCTAGAACAGCGGTTCTCAACCTTCCTAACGCCGCGACCCCTTAATACAGTTCCTCATGTTGTGGTGACTCCCAACCATAAAATTATTTTCATTGCTCCTCTATAACTGTAATTTTGCTACTGTTATGAATCGTAATGTAAATATCTTTTTGTTTTCCGATGGTCTTAGGCGACCCCTGTAAAAGGGTCGTTCGACGCCCAAAGGGGTCGCGACCCACAGGTTGAGAACCGCTGCTCTAGAATGACCACAAAACAGGCCCCAGGGCTCAGTCACTCCCGGGGCTCAGCAGCACAGACACTGATGCTGGAACCTGGGCTGTGCTGACAGCAGCGACTTCAGAGGTTGGGGGACCTGTGGCCCATACCACACGGGATGTGGTGTGAAGGAGGGCTGCTGCGGGGGAAGCTCACTTCCCCAACACGAGTCCGCGGCTCCAACGCAAGTAAAACAAACTACCGAGGAGGACGGCAAACAGCCGTGTGCTCCTCCTGTCTCTCTGTTTGGGAATGGGATGGGAAGGTCTGCACAGCTGACACTTCCAGATGTGGAGCCAAAACACAGGCAGCTCCTGACAGTTTACCAGCCTGGGCTAAACTCCAGTAGCACCAGGGCCAGGCCTGTTCTACGGTGAAGGAAGGGCACTGCAGACTCTGGTCAGGAGGGTGTCAGCACACGGCTCTGGGCACCTCTGCTGGATGGACATGTGTGTGGAGGGGGAATGTGAGAGAAGGCCATGTTTAAAACTGAAGGAGGTTGCTAAGTGAAAGAAGCCAATCTGGACAAGACTATATACTGCATGATTCTACCTATATGACATTCTGGAAATGACAAAACTATGAAGATAGTAAAAAGAGCAGTGGTTGCCAGGGATTTGGGAGAGGGAAGGAGGGAGGGCCAAAGAGGTGGAGCACAGGGGATTGTAGGCAGTGCAACTATTATTCTGTATGATACAGTAATGGTGGGCATGTGTCATTACGCACTTGTCAAATCCCATAGGATGTATGTATAATGCAAAAAGTGAGTCTTAATGCAAACTAGGGGCTTTAGTTAATAACAATGTGTCAACATTGGCTCATCAGTTGTAACAAATTTGTTCCACTAACATAAGACGTAATAGAGGAAATTGGTGGGGAGCAAGGAGTGTGTGGCAACTCTGTAATTTTCACTTAATTTTTTTCTGTAAATCTAAAATTGCTTTTTAAAAAAAAGCCTATTAATTATTTTTCTTTTCTTGAGTTTAAAAACAACCTGGAGGAGGAAGAGGTTAGGGCCATTCTCCAGCTCTCGAAGATGCCGTAGATATTGGGTCTGGGGCTCTTGGCAGTGTAATTTCTCAGACACGTTTGTTGTCAGCACAAGGCTTCTTGGGATCTTTATCCTTATTTTTATTCTTCCTTAGCTTCTAAATCTATAACTGAGTCAGAAATGACTAATATGCCATTTGAAGTCAGATCTATCCCCTCTGGGCAGACATCCAAACATGCTATTCCTTGTACTTACATGCTTCTCAGCTCTCCCATAGTAGAGAGCATCTCTATGGCTTGCGTGCCCAGCACAGAGCCTGACCCCAACAAGCCCTCATGCGTGTGGAGACATGAACTATTCTTGAATTCATCCCATGTTCCTCCTGTCCCTGGCTCGTGGCAACAAACGAGATTTAACAGAGCTCCAGTTCAACTCAGGTAACTGTGCTAACAGAACGGGTGCAATGCAGGGGTGGTACAGGCACATTTAGGAAGCCCCAGGTGAACAACTGCACTAGATACTCTTGGGGGTGGTGAAGATGTGCTGGGCTTCTCTGCATCTCCTAGCCAGGCCTAGCACGTGCTGAGCATAAAGTAGATGTTCATTAATTCTTCTTAAGTGAGCTATGTGAACGGGACAGAGATGCATCCATTCTTACCTTCCCCTTATAGATGGAATACCCACGGACATTCCTGAAGTCAGTCACCTTGAGGAAGAGAGAGGAATGAACTGGGCTATGTATGCTGCAGCCTAGCATACCGCTTCCTGGCTTTTCTAAAACACTCTAATATTATTAGAATCCTCTCTCACATACCTCCCTATACACACACCCAGAATTTTTCTTATATAATCTGTATGTAATTGTTTCATTTTCTTTGAAACTCCTTGTGAGACTCAGGAGAGCCATGCAGACTAGCGTAAAAAAACAAAAAACAAAAAACAAACAAACAAAAAAACCCAGCAGATTACACACCAGATTCTATTCTAGGCACAGGACGAGAGCAAGAGACAAAACAAAATCCCTGATCTCAAGGATCTTTCATTCTCGAGGGTAAGCAGGCAATAAGCAAATGAACAAATAGAAATATGTCAGGAGGATAACAATGAGGAAAAGCAAGTTAGGTTGAAGGGGGAGAGAATTATGACGGGAGTGCGATTTAATAAAGGGTGGTCAGATTAAGGGGGCTGTGAGGCAGGGATCTCAGTGAAGTGAGGGAGGGACTGTGCAGATATCCAGAGGAAAGAGCCTTCCAGAAAGAGGGCAAAACAAGTGCAAAGCACCTGAGTAGGGTGCTCAGTTAGCTGGACGGAACAGCAAGGAAGCCAACGTGGCTGTGGGAGTGGGTGGGTGGTGGTGGCGGTGGGGGCCAGAGCAGTCAAGGGTGGGGCTGAGGGCGTTTGGAGCTTTCTCTGAATGACACAGGGGCGCCATGGAGAGTTCTGGCTTCTCTTTTGGAAGTTGTCACTGACTTCTCTATGGAGAACAGGCCGTAGGGCAGGGAGATCAGGGGAGTGGAAGCAAGAACACTTGGGGAAACGGCTGCAATAGCCCAGGTAAGAAATGTCGATGGAAGACTAGGGTGGTGAGAATTTTCAGGATTCTAGAAATATTTTAAAGGTAAAGCCAGTATCATCTGAGAATGTAAAGTAGAGTATGAGAGAAAGAACAGAGCCAAAGATGACTCATAGGTTTTTGGTAGAATGAATGATGCTGAATTGGGGAAGAAACAGAGGAGAAGGCTGGGTGGGAATTCTTTCCCAGTGACCAGGCCTGAGGACTGCTACCTAATGGTGCACACGGGGCTGGGCCTTGCCCCACAGTGGACTCCTCTCTCTCACGTCTTCTCATGCCTTTATCTCTGTAGACCTTGAGCCAGTGGGGGTTCCAGGCCCCCCACTTAGACCTTGAGCCAGTGCAGCCTTCCACACACTCTACTGTCTAGCTGTCCAATCCATCAATAGCCCTCCTTTCATTCTGTCCCTCTTTCCCCTTCTCTCCTTTGCTAATAACAGCCACCTTCCACTGAATGCTCGCAATGCATTTCATGCACTTTATATGCAGTATCTTGTTTCCTCTTTGCAACAACCTTAAGAAACTGGGGTCTCAGCGGCCAGCCAGGTAGCTCAGTTGGTTAGAGCGCAGTGCTCATAACACCAAGATTGCTGGTTCGATCTCTGTGTGGGCCACTGAGCTGGGCCCTCCACAACTAGATTGAAACAACTACTTGACTTGGAGCTGATAGGTCCTGGAAAAACACACTGTTCTCCAATTAAAAAAAAAAAAAGAACAAAAAACCTGAGGTCTCAGTTTAGTTTAGAAAACTAGCCCAGAGTCATACACTTAGCAATTGGCAAGGCCAGGGTTCACACACAGGCCTGTCTGGTTTCAAAGCCTCCCCCTTAACCAGGATGCCACACAATCTCCAACCTAGAAGTGGCCCCAGAAATACTACTCTGTCCTGGAACAATTATCTGTATCCAGCACTTCACCCTTTTTCTAATAAGACTCATTCTAGACTTCAGTCCTCTCAGGTGGGGTCTCCCATATGCTCCCCAGACTCCTCTGTTCCTTCCTCTCTCAGGAAGAACATTAACTAGGATCCTCCTGCCGTGAGATCTTTTCCTCTCCCAACTCCTGCAGGACCCTGAGACCCTTCATTGTCTCTTCTCACTAGAGAGGGAAAGGCAGCTCATCTGGAGTGACCTGGAAGGGTCTCTGGCAATAGGACCGAACTGCCTCCAATCCAGGCTCCTGCCCTTGGAAAAAGAAATGCATCACAGAAGCAGATGCAGCCCTGGTGCCCAGCCTCTGACCTCTGGCCAGTTCCCTAGAATGTCCTATCTCCTCACTCATCTTAGGCAGGCACAGATGCCAGGGGCATTAGGCTTTTGTCGTGAGCATGAACATTTTGAATCAAAAGTGTTCCCTTGTGCCATCTCATTGCCTCCTAATAGTGCTCTGACGACGCAGCTTGCAAGGACAGGGAAATAAAGATACACAGAGTTTCCAAGACTTCCTCTCAGTTACCCAACTAGTTGGTCACATAATTATATCTTAAACCCCAGTGTCCTAGCACTCCACACACCCCCAACCCAGAACACCCTAGCTATAAGCTTTCCACGTTTGTCAGAGAAAAACAAAGAACTGAGGGTAACTACATGTCCTCCACAGACAAATCTCCACCACTCTCTTCAGCCAGGAGGGAGAGGTGTGTTTTGCTCTTCTGCAGGTAACTGCCTGTAGAATTCTTTCTGCTGGCTGCCCTGTGAGGATTTGCCTGGAAGGTACCATCTCCTGTCAGTTACCTGTCTGTCAAAGCTGCGGCTTCCTTCCTCGGGGTATTTTTCTGTACAAGCTGCCACGTCTCCTGACCAGTAAAAGTATCTGCTGGGCCAAACGCCTTCTCCTGCTCACCCCACCCAGGCCACAGAGGACCTGCTTGATCAGACTTGCAGACACCCGAGAAGCACATGGATTCAGCTGGCATCTATACTAAAGCAGAGATGCAGAGAGCCAATTCAGATGATGTCCCAGAGGGGAGAGAAAAAGTCAGGAGACATGTTCTGTGCTGAGACTCAAGACGGAGGCAGCTTTTGGCACTGTTTTCAAAGTCTGGCGCAAGCTGTGCCACAAAGCCTGGCTTCCTCGTGCTGCTGCCACCGAGCCAGTCAAAACCTTGCAGCTGTGGTCGCAGGTTGCATTTTGTGTCTCTTAAGGCAAGTTCCATAAAGGCCCCCATTTACACTTAGTTGTAAAAGAAATAGCTCCACCAAGTTATGGGGACTCTGCTTTGGGGGAGAGATTGAGCTTTTTTTTTTTCCTCTTCAAATCCTGAGTTTTGGAGTTGGCAGCCCTGCAATGAAATCGTGCTTTCCCCACTTACCAGCTGTGTGACCAGAACAAGTCACTGTAGTTATTGAAACTTCAGCTCCCTTATCTGCAGTAGAGGATCATAATGCCCATCTTCACAAGACTTCTGGGGGACTGCAGAAGTGACGCTTGTGGTGCTTAGCACAGGGTTGGGCACACAGTAGGTGCTCACTAAATAGCAACTATTCTCCACATCACCACCAGGACAGCAGAGACAGGCGGTGCTGCCTCGTTGGCACTGAGATTCCCCAATCTCAGCCTGCCCTCCGGGTCCACAGCTGATGGCCTGAGTGATAGGGTGAGAATAATAATCCTTCCTTCCCGTGATGAAGGGTACCTGCTGCTTATGTGTGCTTACCCTCTTGGGGGAAAGGCTCTCCACATAAACACAAGACTTCGTTTATAAATTCAGAGGAAGAAAAATTAACTTCATCACAATACCGCCTTCAGCAACCTGTTCCATTCTTTCCACCCAAACTCAAGACCTTTGTGGTGTTCCCGTGACAGGCGATTGGTTGCCAACCTTGTTGTTCCCTTTGGGCAGGAGAGCCGAGCTCCCCCACCCCTCCTCTCTCCCATTGTCAAAGACCACCCAGTGAAACTTGCTGGCAAGCTGCCACAGTCCAGACAGGCGAAAGCTGGGTCTAACTAGCCAGCTTCCATCCCGGCAACAGAAGGCTATAGACCCCAAAGCACCTGACTGCGGGGCTTTCACCTGGAGCTGCTGCGGCCTTCACGATGGCAGACCACCAACGCGGTCAAGGCAGGGCTGCAGGTGACTGCTTCGAAGGCCTGCACATTGGAGGAGCCATGAGCGCCTAACACGTGGCTATAATACAGTAGATTTTTATATAACTTGTTCGCTACAAAACATCCATTCATAATGACAGAGGTAAACAGCTGTGAATTTCCATCATTTTCTGTGGTCTTACTTGCAAAAGAGGGCACTGTGCTCGCTGATTGCAGTATGAAATCCCCTTCAGGAGGGCACAGGTACATAAAAAGTCAGAGCTACCATAACACCGTGATGGGATGATCATCATTAGACAGAACGCCGAGTCAAGCGGGGGAGACGATTTGTGAAATAATTAGAAGCAGCCTCTGCTTTCACAGAAAAGTAATAAACCCAGACACCCTCTCCCCCACACCCCTCCAATTTTCCTCTCCAATTAACTGTGACCCATACCTAATAAACCTTCTGGGATTGTAATGTTAGGTAAGTTCAGACTAGTAAAGGCACTTGGCTGGGGCTAATCTGGAAAAATACTGGCAGGGCCGGGGAAGATGGGGGAGGGCTCCCCTCAAAAATCTAATTCCATCCCAGCCTGGGGGGCCCTCCAAGGCCAGCTGCCTCCACATTCTCTCCTCCTCTTACCTGTACGTAGCTCCCATCCCATGTGAGCTACCTCCCAGCAGCTAAGGAGGTTCAGGGCAACTGGAGAGAGTCCAGCGACTTTTATTTCTTCCTAAAATAAATGTCCCCTCGCTTGCTACCCTGTGAATGATTTCAGAGCCAAGCAAACCTACCCAAGACAGTAGAGCAAAGGGCAAACGGAACTGAAAGGTAAAAAGCTGAATTCAGGCATGTGTTTCTAGAATTGTCAGTTAATATCTGACATGGAGGAGAAAGAAAAAACAAAAAAAGGCACATTTTTCCTTTTTTCCCCTGAAAGCTATTCAGTAACTGGTTTTAGAAGCTTGTCTAAGATTCACATTTCTGAGATTCTGCATTCAATGCAGAGATTCTAGTTTTTAACTTTCCTAAACTGAAAAGACAAAAACAAAAACCCTACTCTGAACTTAAAATCTTCTGTCTCGAGAATAATTCAGCCTATCACCCACTGAGGAAAAGTAAGTTTTCAGGGAAAAAATAATGAACACATATGGGCAGAGGTAAAAAAATAAATAAATAAAAAAATTCAGTATTGCCAGTCCCATCTCTGCCTTAAGAGTTAGCCTGAGATATTGGCTCTCTTCCCTCAAGAAGCCTTTCTTAATTGATCCAGTAAAAGTACTTTTAACACTAAAGCTTGTATTGTATTGCTCTGCATTTCTCTTCGCCTTAGTAATTGGATTCTGAGCGGCGTGGGCTCTGGGATAGAGCCCGGGCACACAGCAAGTGCTGGATAAAAGCTTGTGGGAAGGATGAAAGCTCCAATCTACACACGTCATCACCCTCGTTTTGTCCAATGCTGCCCAAACTGATTTTAGAGGAGAATAAACATTGCTTTGCCATCCTTTCTTCTGCACAGGTCCTTGTGCGTTATTTTTTATTCAGCCCTACTTAGCCATATTATGTACTTTCCTGTTGCCAACCAGAGAACTATAATAGTGAGACTTTCCTCAACATTTTCTCTAGCAACCAAATTAAGTTGACTCTGTATTATTGGCTTGGATCTTTCTCCTGTGATTTCCTCTTACTGCCCAATAATCCTGTCCTGAACATCAAAGGCCTTCTTTGAAGATAAGGCCAAATTCACCATTAGGGACAGAGAAATTATTTCTTAACTTTATTTCAGAAGATGGAACGATGCAGAATCCCTCTGGGTTTTGTGAGATAAACACTGCCAGGTTCATCAGATCACAAGGCATTGCCTGTAAGACCACTGACAGAGACATAAACACAGGGCTTTCCTTACCCAAACCTAAGCAGGACTTTTCCACAGCAGTCTTAGATTCCAAATCCCATAGTAAATGGTTTGTATCCAACATGTTGAACAGTTTGCCTCAGGGAAAGGGGGGTTAACATGGTCACCCCAAGGGAAAGAGGCCACAGGCTCTGACTAAGAGTATCTGAGCCAAACTAGAACCACCATGTTTAGTCCAGATTCCACTCAAGCTGGACCCTTCCAACAGAAAAGGATGAGAGACACTTTATTTTCAAGTAGCAACACAAAATGTGAAAAAATGACTGACCCGATATGCCAGAGACAGTAGACTGTGGGCAGAAAAACCTCACCTGCTTCTTCTACTTCATGGCTGCTACCCTCAGACGCTGTGAATGTTGACAAGACTTCATGGGTCATGGATTGAGGGAAGCTTGTGCCGGGACTGAGGGAAAAGAGAAGTGTCTCATCTTTTGAACAACCAAATAAACAAACACTTCCGAAGTATTTGCTTTTTATAAGGTGCATCGCTAAAAACTCAAGTAATTCCTTATTAACCCATTTTATAAATAAGAAAACAGAGAAAAAGTAATTTTTCCAAGGTCATAGACTTCCTTAAATCTCCAGTTACCTGGCTCCTTGCTAGAAATAAAATGAAAAATGGATTAAGGACAATGATTACATTGAAAACAGTTTGTTGATCTTACAAAAAAACGTTACCTGTGTATCCAGTCGTCCATTTTCATCAACATTCACCAAACATCTCTCAAGAACACATTATCAGTAGGCCTAATACAGCGTAAGGTAGGCTTACAGGGAAGGGGTCGCGGGTGGTAAGGCAGCAAGCAAGGAATGAACCCAGGTAAAATCAAGAGTCAGCAGCTACATGGGTCAGGCTGGAGCAGAAGATAATGTCACCCTACTGAGGTGACATTATCATGAGGTGGGACAGAGCCACACAAGGAAAGGCTAAGAAATCTGGGTTGTAAACTTACACTGTTTTTAAGCTGGGTGGCAACTTTTTTGTGGGACTGATGAAGGATGGGTGGGGTGTGATAGGTAGACAATCCAGCCATGGGTCCACAACAATTAATAAGGGCATGACCAAGCATGATGGAAGGAATGGAAAAGATGGGGCGGGTGGTTGGGATAATAAAAGGAAGGGTAGGAAAGACTGGACAAGCTTGGGGAGGGAGTCTAACTCAAGTGGCAGTGGACATGCAGGGATCCATTAGCTTAGTGGTTTGAGCCAGTGTGAATGGAGTCCACAGGCAGAGCCAGGGCTCCAACCCAAGTTTCCTAATCCTCAGGGCAGTGCCACTGGAGATGGATTCTTTCAGCCTTACTTCCTGCATTCCTCCCCTTCTCTACCCATTACCAACCCTGAGGGCTCCGTGGAGGCAAAAGCCCTATTTAGGAAGGCTTTTTGTAAACGTGGATTTCTAGATTAAAAACAAACACCCTCTTCATCCCACCCCTCTGCCCCAAATATTTGATTCAGCCTCATGAATGATGAAAATATTTCATGTGAAGGCTCTATGTGGGAGAACTCTTAGGATTTAGGTTGTTCCCACCAATGGCACAGTGGTTGGACATAACTGTTCTCTGTGAGTCTTTGGTCAAGCACAGAGATTCTTCAGGGCTATGTGACTACAAAAGAATCTCTACTTTTATCATATAACGATATGAAAACTAGGTACACACAGTAAAACCTTGGATTGCGAGTAACGTGGTTTATGAGTGTTCTGCAAGACGAGCAAACATTTCTAATACATTTTAAGGTGGTAAACGAGCAATGTCTTGCAATATGAGTAGTTTGTTTCCGGAACAAATTATGCTCGCAAACCAAGTTATTACTGTACATGAATGAAGAAAAACATGTTGTATTACAGTATGGGATTGTGGGTAATTTTCAAAAACATTTTATTTATTATCAGATGCTTGTCCAATAAATAAAAATTGGGAGGGGGGTAGTTTGGAGAACCATCCTTTGATTAAGAAAGCATATTCTCCTGTGCCAAGAAAGCTCCCAACCCAAGGTTTGATGATGTACTAGAAATGCTGAATTGAAGTGTGGCGATGACAAGAAGTTCTATATACTAAAGTAAATAGATTTTTAAAAATATAACAAATCGCTTTCTTTCCTCCCCATCTCCAATTTCCATTTTCTTCTGTGTCTCTTATTTTCCCAGATAGCAAGGAGGTTTGGAGCTTGGAGGAAAGAAAGCAAACTCCAAATTTTGTATACTATCTTTTGGTGCCAGGTTAATACTTTCTTATGCAGGGGCCATAAAGTACTGGACAGCAATTATCTGTTGCACGTGGGTTTTCTTCCACTTCTTCCTTTGTTTGAAAGACAGAGAGAAAAACCCTTATTCATTAACCATATCAGTGTCTTTGCTGAAATCTGAACTCAGACCCCCTAGGGTGCTGTGAAATACTGTGACCAGCAGTCTGCCTCTCACCTTTCTCGCTCAACCCCTGGGGATCCCAGGGAAGTCAAGTGAATTATTTCATGAATAAAATCTACTTCTTAGGGCATGGAAACCACAGATAAGTTGCTGAAGACAGCTGGGAGCCCAAACACTTGAAAGAGCACTTCAAAGAAAGGAAAATCTCTGGGCCCATTTGGAGGATGGAAAGGAACATAAATCACTCTCTTATCACAAGTTGGCCAACCAATTAACAGCAGAGCAGGGTCCTCTCTGTCCCTTCTCCCTTGCCAGATGTGGTCAAGGAACCAACCATCCTGACCTCTATGAACTTTCTCTCCCAAGTAAAGCCAACTCCTGTGGCTTGGGCAAATTCTAAGAAACTGTCTCTTGCAATGTTACTCTTCTGAGATCTCTTGAAAGAGGATAAAAGGAACAGTGTCTGATGTCTCAATCCTCAAATTTCATTGGTGTAGAGAGCCTTCAGCCTCCTGAAGGGTCAACCTCTGAGTAATAGATGGCGGCAGGCAGGGTCAACCAAGTGGCACAATGAGGCAACTCTTACGTCTTTCATTTTTACCTCTTTCCATAAACTCACTCCAAAAACTCATTTGGCCAAAAAGTCATAACTCCAGTGCTGTTTCCACCCTGCCTGTATCCCACGGACCCCAGGTGCTTCAAGATTACCATGGGAACCTTCTGGGTTTCAATTATGAGACCATTAAAAAGTGGCAATTATAAGACCTCAGAAACGTTCCTGGGAAACCTGTTACATGCCTCAAAATGGCCACGCTCTTGCCTCAGATTCACTTTAAGTTCTGAAAACAGGTCTCCCAAATGCATGGGTGCCTCAGTCTCCACCTCAGTCCAACAAGACGGTGTTTTAATATTGACCATGCTGCCCTTGAGAAAATGGGCATTGATTTATTGGCTGGAACCAGAGGGATGAAAAAACCATCACAGAGCTTGGCTGTCTATTTAGGGCCCAGTTATGGAATAAGTCAGAAATGTATGTGTATTCAAGAACTTTGAAAATTATATTCATTCAATGGCCAATGTTTGCAAAGTTCTGGGCAACAAAGAACTAGGAGACAAATGTGAGTTGGGTAGAGTATATGGAGGTGACACAAGGGCCTGCATCCAAAATATACTTTTCCCTCAATGCACTCAAAGAGGTAACTCTGGGTAAAAAAAACTCATACCAACCCATCTGAACGAGCTGAGAAGGAATGGGGGAAGGGCGGAACACCCCACCACACCCAGAAAGTGCCTGTTTAGGACTGCTGGTGTGCGGTTTGGGTATTCTTAGCTCCACTGCCACATCTCTGGAGGGACACAACAACCTTTCAAGTAACCCTGACACTGCCATCCTCATCCCCAAAACAAAACTAAACAAAACAAATCCCCAGGGCTCGTTAACCTCTGTCAGGTCGGACTGCCCCCAACCCCTCAAAATTCTCCCATCACCTAGAAGAGCCAACTAGTATAACGTTGCACATCCTGAAAGTTTATCAGGGCCTTCAAAAATCCAGGAGAAAATTCTTCCTGGCTCCTTGCCCCTCCACGCAACCTTCCAACTTGTTCAGGGGTTCATTTCCCCACCTTCTCACAGTTACACAAACAAAACCCCCAAGAGCACAACCCAGGAGCACGCTGCGCGCGCGAACACTCACTCACTCACTCACTCACTCACTCACTCACTCACTCACTCACTCACTCACACACTCACTCACGCAGTCCCTCTTACCGCTGCTCCACCCCCACAGACACATCAGGACAACCCACTTCAGCATCGTCCAGCGAGGGATGCTCTTCTGGGGCTGTTTCGCTCGGGGTCCGTTCGGTCCCTTATGTTACTGTTTTCCTTTTTAAAAGGCAATACGATAAACCCTCACCCCCGAAGAGCCCAAGGGGTTGCTGGGCGGTTCTGTGTATCTGCCGACTCCCATTGGGGCTTCTTCCCACCGCCTGGCGCACGGAGCCGGAACACTGGTGTCAACCTTCGGGAGAAGTTTGCGAGGCTGTCCCAGCGCTTCTTCCACCCAAGAAGCTTCCGGGAACCACCGTTCAGACCGCACCCACAGGGAACGAGATTCGGCGCCCCTGGCACCCCGCTGCCCGCCTCGTCCCCGCTCCTCGGTCCCCGCGCCGGCGCGCCCCTCCTCCGCTGCAGCCCCAGCCCGAGCCGCCGGCTGAGCGCTCCGATCGGCTCCCGCCGCCCGCGCGTCCCCATCAGCCACCCGCTGGCGCTTCCTCGGCATCGCCGGCCTGCGGCCGCCGCCAGCCCCCGCCCCTCCCCAAACCAACAAATAAACACAACTTTTTATGAAAAGAAAACAAACTTCAGCGACGTGACTCACCTCTGGTTGCAGCTGGCTCCTGGGAAGGCAGAGGCAGGGCCTGGGGCCAGCGTGGTGGGCGCGGAGAGAGCCACACAGCAGCGCGCCGCACGGACACACAACCCGCACAGTGACACCCAGGGACACACACCACGAGAGAGGTGCCGCAGGAGAGCAACAAAGGAGCCCCAGACCAAAAAAGTTGCCGGCCGGGGAGGGAGGGCGCGTGCGGGCGCGTGCGGCTGCGGCGGGCGTGTGTGTGTGCGTGTGTGTGTGTGTGTGTGTGTGTGTGTGTGTGTGTGTGTGTGTCCGTGTGTGTGAGTGTGAGTACGTGTGTGCGCGCGCGGCTGCTGACACCGGCCGGCGGGGCTCAAGGTCTCCGCGGCAGGAATCGGGAGTGGCGGCGGCGGCGGCGGCGGCAGCAGGAGGACAAGGCAGGGGACGCCGCGCCCAGCGCACCCGGTCCCTCCATATGGAAGAAGCTTTTTTGGATGACTGAACTCGCAAACAATTCCTTCTTTTGCTTCTCCAGCCTAGGAACCTCCCATTACCGCGCGAGGCGGAGGAGGAGGGGGCAGAGGAGGCGGGGAGGAGGGGGAGGAGCAAAATGGAGCAAAGAAAAAGTCTTGGAAAGGAAGCTGGAAAAAAAAAAAAAAAACCGGTCTCCCAAACTCAATTTTTCTAACACCCATTTTCTTTCTGTTGCGCCTTAGCTCCGTATTCTCCCCCCAACTCTCCTTCTTTCCCATACCAAAAGCAATGCCCTCTGCCTTTCTCCCACACTCACGGGCTCCCGTGAACCCCTATTTTCCCTTTAGCTTCACCTCGGACTTGATCTTCTGGGGCTATCTTCCTCTCGCCCAGTGTCCTTTCCCCAAGGCTTTTTCTGACAACCCCCACTCAAGAGTCTCCTAAATTCTGCAAAGGAACTATTGAGTAAACCATTAAAAGCAAACTTTCTGTTATTAAAAGTGCCCCCTCAAAAAAAAAAAGTCGGGTAGTGGCTGTCGTGAAAATGACAAGGAAACCAGTCGGGGAAGCCCCCAACGCCACCTCCCCCGACCCACCGGGTAGGTTGGGGGGGGGAGAGGGTTTGCCGCGTCCTCCGTTGACAGAGCCCTGCTCTGACCTCCATTCATCATCCCAGGATGGAGGAGCGAGTTAAAGGATGAGAGGGGGAGGAAGAGGGAGGGATAGTGGCCACAGAGAAAAACTATTACCTCCGTGTGTGCGTGTGTGTGTGTGCGCGTGCGTGCGTGTGTGTGTGTGCGCGCGCGTGTGAGTGCGTGTGTGTGTGCGTGTGCGTGTGCGTGTGCGTGTGCGTGTGTGTGTGTGTGTGTGTGTGTGTGTTAAACCCTCCTTTTAGGGTTGGGCAGAAAACATTCTCAAACTTGAGCTGCATCAGGACCCTCTGGGGGCTTATTAGAACACAGATTGCTGGGCCCCACCCCCAGAGTTTCTGATTCAATAGGCTCTGGGGTGGGCTGGGGAATTTTCATTTCTAATAAGCTCCCAGGTGATGCTGCTGCTTGTGGTCCAGGGCCACGTTTTAAAAACCACTCACTTTTCCAGGGTATCTAGAAATCAAACATAGGCTGAGTTGGTGGCAAACTGGGTCCTCTTCTTATTCTTTGGGGATGAAACAGATTGTGAGGGGCCATGCAGCTCACCCCCTTATATGGCCACTGAGGGAAACCGAGTTTCAAAGTGAACCCCGAGTTTGTTCAAAAGTGGGAAGGAAGGTGTCCTGCAGAGATGGTCAGGCAGGCCAAGAGAGGGGCAAATGCAGGTGCTGCCCCCCCCCCCCCCCCGGCAGGATAGCTGCACTAGTAGTCAGAAAGCCACTAGGTGATTTAGAGAAAGCCATCTAAACTTTCTGGGCCTCCATTTTGTTTTCTTTAGTTTCTTATCAGTAAAAATACATACTTTATGCTGAATATCAATATAATTTTTATCAAATATGAATCAAAAGATGTGTAAAAAGGCAACATAAACCTTTTATTCAGTACGTTGTACCATTTTTTCCCCCTTCAGTTTATTTATTTTCTTTCAACTCTGGTGCCTGGATTCGTGGGCCTGTCTCTGTGGCAGATGGATAAAGGGGGTGATCCATTTTCCACAAGAAGGTGAAAAAGACTATGAATTCCCCCTTTGAACTATACACCTGTAGTTTTTCCTCTCCTTTCTTCTCCAGTTCCCACCCTCCCCACTTGCCTTCTCTTTTCATTTCCAGCGTTCTCCCCACAACATTCTTCAAGACCTATTTTTCTCCCCATTCAATGACCATGTTGGCTCCCACCTTCTTATTGTCCTCCTTTGGAGGCCAGGACTCTAAGGCCTGGTGTCCACCCTGGGTACAGAACTCTTAATTCCCCAGTGGAATGGGTCAGCCAGCCTTCTACTGCAGTGAAAAAAAACACCTCTCTCCCCAAGCAGGGGATCTATCTGTCTGGTTTTCAGAGATGACTCCAAGGGCCATGGCCACTGGAGATGTGGGATTTCAATGAGAACATGATGCATGAAGTTCTCATATGGATTCTTAAGCATTCATATATGTATATATATATATATATGTATGTATATGTATATATATGTGTGTGTGTATATATATGTATGTATATGTATATATATGTGTGTGTGTGTATATATATATATATATATATATATATATATATATATATACACTATTGATTGCTCAACATCTTAAAGATGTCCCTTACCCTTTCACATTGTCTCCTTCCTAGGACTTTCTCCGAGGACTCTCCATTCCCTCTGTTCTGGGCTTTGGATCTCACCTTGGGCTCTGAGTCAAGGAGTCAGAACCCAGCAGAAAACAAAGATGATCAAAGTCCTTATCAAACACTGTTTAGCCAGGAGAAAGACCCATGGCTTTGTACTTCCCTCCATCCTAGGGTGTTCAGCTTTCCCATAGAGTTTAGACAAAATGAAAATCCCAGCTTAATTGAGAGGGCTTAATTCTGCCGCAGTATCAAGTATACTCTTGGCACCTCAGATGTGTTTGTTGTTTTTATGGCTCATTGTACTAACATAATTGTGTTTATTATTATTACTTTTGTAAGAACATTGTATTTCTGAACTCTCCCCTTTGCCTGGAGCAAGTTCCTTGCTTAAGTCTCTCCTTCCTTTCTATTAGTTTCCCTCCCCTAACCCTCCCTCCCCACTCTAGCCCCCCAGCCATTTCGAAGGGTTAGATAGAATCTGGGCTTGTCGTAGGTGCTTTCTGCAACTCTCTACTCTTGTTCATGGTGATTTCCCTCTGGCATCTTGCTTTCTTGGGTGTTTTCTGGACCATCAAGAAGGAAGCATTTATGATGGAAGCGATAATCACATTTACTATGTTTGAAGGTCAGGCAGGGGCTACAGGTATATACATGTCATTACATCGCTAAGGCTGTGCAGAATGAAGAGGCAGGAATCTCTGTGAGTGACAGTGACATGAAAAGAGAGAGGAGTGTTCCTTTCTCGGTGTGCTGCAGACACTTTACCTGTATCATAAAAACAGGGAACTAGGTTTTGAAGGATATCTGCAGAGGACTGGGCTGAGAAATTACTGAGAGGTAGACGAAGATAATAATTGTCCCTTTTTTAATTTAACTTTGATTATAAAATATGTTCGTTGAAAAAAAATAGGAAATATGGAAAAACACAAAGAAGGGGAAAACCCCTTTAAACCTGCTACCCAGGGATGACACTGTGAATAGAATAAGGCGTTTAGTCGTTTTTCTCTCTTATTTTTGCTTCTCATTAATACAGATACAGATTAATACAGATATATGCTTCATCTACACTTAGTATATGAATCTACTTGATCAGAATGGAAGATGTTTAAAAGAGCAACATAAACAGACACTTTTATGAAAAATTTTGTACTATGTTTTTTTTTGTTTTGTTTTGTATTTGGTAATCTAGGCAGGAGCCAGTTTCTTCACTGATTTATCTGGTACTTTCATATGTTGCAAAGTTATGTCCATTGTATAGTATATACAAGTTATTATCCTACTTTTAAATTTAACATTCAAATGTATTAGTTTTCCCCATGTCATTATACCTTCTCCAATGTCTAACTTTAATAGCTTTGTACTATTCCATCAAAGAAAAAGACTGTTATTTGTTTAACCATTCTCCTATTGTCATATATTTAGATTGTTTCCATTTATATTATGATCATGCATCACAGTTGACTAAACATCGTATCATAAATCTTTATTTATAACTCTGATTATTTCATAAGGGTGAATTCCTATGAGTAGGAGTTTTGGATCAATGGATATAACATTTTGAAAGCTTTTGGTTGGTATTGCAAAATCCTCCTCTAGTGGCTCTAATGTACATTTTCATCTTTTGGATCTCAGCAACAATGAGATCATCAAACACAAGGCCCCAAGTGGAGACCTGATCGAATTATTCAGTTTGGATGACTGAGCTGACCAGATAAAGAAAACTGCCACATATACACTACAGTGCAGACAAAACCCAAGTGGGAAGAGTTAAACAGTAATTGCCAACTATGTGAGCTCTATTATATTTATGATTTATTTACCTTTTCCAACAACTCTCTGAGAAATAACCTAATGTTTTTATCCTCTCACAGCCTCTGTGTTGGATTCTGTGTGTACATTTGATCTTGAATCGCTGCAACAACCGTTTGCTATAGGTTTGATTATCTCCATTTTACAGATGAAAAATTAAGTAGCTTGCCTAAGATCCCCAACAACCAAGTTGTGCTACTAATTCAAAACCTGAGGTTTTTCCAGTTCTATGCACTGTTTCCCTACAATGGTTTCATGAGTTACAGGATACCTGGTAGAGTAATAAAGGCATATTTAGAAGTTGCTTGAATTTTGTCAAACCATTGAGGAATCTTTTGTGGGCTTCCAAATGACTGTTGCTTTAAAGGGCATCCAAGTGTGTTCAAAGGGCTAAGGTAACTTACTAATTGTAACTAAAGGAAGAGTCCAAAGATTGTACCAGGTCTGAAAATTAAGTTTGCAAACTCATCCTAGAAAAAGTGCTACATACCTCATTGCTGAATATCACTACAGTTACCTTCAAAGTACTCCCCTTGGGAAGCTATGCACTGACACCAGCACCTAGTCCACCCTTCAAAGAAATTTTGGAAATTTTTTTTCTGGAATGGCCATCAGAGCTGTCGTTGTATTACCCTTGATGTTCTAATGTCACCAAATATCTTCCTTTCAATATTTCCTTTATCTTGGGGTAAAGAAAGAAGTCATTGGGGGCCAAATCAGGTGAGTAGGGAGGGTGTTCCAATACAGTTATTTGTTTACTGACTAAAAACTCCCCCACAGACAGTGCTGTGTGAGCTGGTACATTGTCACGATGCAAGAGCCATGAATTGTTGGTGAAAAGTTCAGGTCGTCTAACTTTCTCATGCAGCTTTTTCAGCACTTCCAAATAGTAAACTTGGTTAACTGTTTGTCCAGTTGGTACAAATTCATAATGAATAATCCCTCTGATATCAAAAAATAATTAGCAACAGTG